CATAGTTTCTTTGACTCTCATGCAGAGAATTCCCTCTTGGGCAACTTTAGATGGCCACGGGAGACTGAGTGGTAATACTCGTTTAATTATAGATGACTCCTATTTTGTCACACTACACATGCATTTTGGCACTACTGACACCACCATTTAATGGAATCATTAGGGATTTTCTCCCCCAATCACAGCATGGGTGGCCAGCGCAGGGGAATCCATATCAAGGATGTTTTCCCCATTCTGGCTGAGAAGACACAGTGACATACTTTGAAATTACAAGATCCACTATACATGCATCACTCTGAGGGGTGTGCACATTCTTGACTCGGGCACATTCAAGGGTCAGGTTATCTGAGGACAGTGGAAATGCTGAGGTTTAAGCATCCCACTGAAAGGAGTGATATAGGACCACACCCACCAACCTACTTCCAGAGTGGAAGGAAATGATACGAGGACGCAGAGATGGAAAGCATGGACTCTGAAGAAAATAGGAACACTTGCTGTTCCTGGGGGTGTCTGTGGAATCTCACAGTTTTGAATAGATTGGGTCTCTGTTCATCTGCGGAATCGATGCGGCTTACTGCTGGATTCACCCTTACGCATTTTACTGGTTTGTTATTTTGGAATGAAGTAAACACCTAGACCTTAACAATGCTCAGCCTCCTTTATGCTTTCTTGAGCAGGCCATGAATATCTTATTTGGTCCTGGTTCAAACATCCAATTGATGAGAGGTGACCAAACTGGGGCCAAAGAAGAGGTTTAGGAAAATAAAATTACTCAGCTGACAGCTTTGATGATGGAGGGTAGGAAACAAAGTAATGTAATATCTCGGGTAAATGGATTTGGAAATTTCATCCTGTGGTAAAGAGAGAGGGGCTGCCGTCATTCACAAAGCCAACAGTCCAGTGAAAGAAATTCTATTTGCCTGGCTAAGCCAAGGTCAGGTTAAAAATACCTGGCTTGAGGCAAACAGCCCCTTCTTGATGGCAGAAATGAGGGTGGGCAAATCTAAGGTCACTGTTGGCACCATCCCTTACATACCCACCCTCCTACCTCTAAAACCAACTTCTGCAACCTAAGAGAATGATGTGGCCACTGAGCTTTGAGCAGATCTGTAATCTTTCCAGAATAGCATGTGAATTTGTAAGACAGGCATCCAGTGCTACCTCCCTGTAAACAGATATTGTGTTTTAAAAAGGAGACCTAGTGGGAATTTTCTAGGTTTGCTGTCACAACTGATTTCTACGGAGGGGAGGAGGGGTCAGTGAGAGGGTTGGTGCCCAGGTACTAGGAAGAAGAGTCAGAGTGACTGAGAAGGTTGTAAAGTATCAGAGGGGGCTGCTGGGATATTCCTTAGGACTGAGCTTCCTGAAACCTCTCAGCCACACCAGGAATGACAGATTAACTTGACCTCAGTTCTTGAGAATCTTTCCTACCCTAGGTGCTGACGGGGAAAATATGGTGCTACCGGCTTGACTTTGCATGAAATGCTGGTGATCTATAGTCTACCTGGAAGATAAGAGCTGGACCCGGGGTTTGCTTAGAGCCAAACTGGACCCTGTGCTAAGTAAGCCCAGGCCAATGGGCATGAACACTTCTCACAGACCAGTAAGGCCAGTGAGGTGGGGAAGCATGGACACAAATTACTCTTCCTGACGTTTTCACCACAGTGGCCTCCATTCGCATTCACTTGTTTCCAGACATCCTGAAGCAAAAGCCATACAAAACAACCTCCCCAATGGAAAATGAAAACCCGTAACAGAACACTTCCCCCGCTTCATTCCCATCCCCACCCCACTCCCTCAGCCCAACACCCTAAACACTCACAAGAGAACACTTTATCTATACAAAATTAATTAGAAAAACAAAATATTTACATGTGAAATGAACACCATCTTGATTTCTGTCCCCAGTGGAGACCAGCAGAGCCCCCTTTGTTCTAGATTGCTGTTCGCTAGGTTAGTTGGTTTGGTTTTTTATTTGAACGGGGTGAGGTAAGAGGAAGAGCGAGGGGAGGAGCCCCTGACCTTGGACAGAGCCAGGGTGAAGCAATGTTTCTATGGCCCTTCCTCCTCCTCCTGGAGACACCTCACACCCTCTGTCCTCTCTCTCAAAGTCTTTCCTTGAATCTAAAGTAAAGCACTCCGTGCTCCTCTCTCCAAATTTGTGAGAGGTTCAGCCCCTTGCCCCCAGGTTCGTTTTAGAAAGAAAACAAAGCTTTACAAGGCCTTCGGTTGGCTTTAAAATGAAAGATACTGAGGTAAAAATCAAGGAGGAGGGTGGGGGCCGCAGTCGAGGGTGGGGAAAGAGGAAGGGTGGTGAGTCGGGGCAAACAGAAGGCAAAGAGCAGCCCTGGAGGGTGTGACTTGAAGAGACATGGCAGCTTCCTTCCAGAGGGGGATGAGCACCTTTCTGGTTTATGTGTCCTGTGTGCAACATGGAGGTCCTGCAGTCAAGCTTCCACACAGACCCGGGTTCTGTGGCTGCCACCTGGGTAAGGGGAGGGCGGCAGGACAGCGGAGCTGACCCAGAGTTTCAGGACCGGCAGTGACAAATATTCATTTCCCTTCTCAAGTTTCCGACTTCTAGTGAAAGGGGCATCACATCTGCCAGCACCCTCATTCCTGGAGTTTTTCTAGATGTCTATATTTTATTCTTGAATGGTACACTCTGGGAGAGAAAGGAGGCGTTGTTGCAGGAAGGTGGAAGGGCTTCTACGGAGGGTGTTCACACTGGGCTCAATGTCACATTCTCAGGGAGCCAGACCCAACGGGGTAGCGGGGGTGTACCCCTCCCCTCCCCACTTCCAATCCCGTCCCTTCCCTCCGTGGCTCCTGAGCTATACTCATGAGCAAGCTCATTCCTCTTACCTGTCTGTTCCCTGTCAGCTGTGATCGATTCTGAGGGAACAAGCCTGCTCTCCTAGCTCCAGGTTAAGTAAGAAGGGATCAAAGCATTGAAAACATCCCCCTCTCTCACTTACCCTACCACAACCTACTCCTCCCTTTTTCAGAGCCTTACTTAGCTCCTCCCCGAACAAACCGTGACCAGCTGAAAGGTCCAAAGCTCAAGAGAGCTTTATGGAGTCTTTTGCTCTCTAGTGTGGGCAAAAGATCATGGCTACTTCTATTTCCCTTTAGCCTTCCTGGAAAGTTCTTGGCCAAAACCAGCTGGAAGTATTGGCAGCTGGAGAAATTCCTTTTGTACCTTGCTCTTGCTCACCACCTTTTCGTCTAGACCACACAACCTTCTCTGTCCATAACCTCCATTCTCCTCACCCGGGAAGGGCGAAGGGGCGAGACAGCCAAAATGCAGGTGACATGTGACCATCTCGGTTCGTATATAAGCCAAAACAAGCACACTGCTGAGGGACATTGAAGGAAACACGAGTCAGGGTTGCCTTGTCTGCATGTATAGGCCCCTGACTCCACGTGTGTGTAGATGACACGTGCGCCAGTGCACCTGGGCACACGTGCACACACAGCCCACCCTCTCTTGCCTCTAAGGCACTGTGAAAGATTGCCATGATGTCACCGGCCGCCGACCTTTCGCTTACTGAATGTCATGACATTGAAGCAAACACGGTTTTTGGCTTATATACCAACACAAATGGCCTCCCCGCCTCTGCTTGGCACATGATCCCCAAACAGATGCCATCAAAGCCACAAGACTTTAGCAAAGGCCTCCCTTCATTCACAGGCAAGTGTGCTAAACGGCCTTACCCGAGAGCTTTCGCTGCCCCGCCTGAACGTGCGGATGGGCTCGGGAAGGCTCTCCTGGGCGCACATGGCCTCCTTTGGCTTCTGCCGGCTTCACTCAAAGCGGGGGACAGAGTCCTTCCACGCGAGGAGGAAGCTCGCCAGCAGCCCCTTCCTTTGCCCCCTCCAGGCCTCCCATCCTGAGCAGCCCACTGCGCCCTCTCCCAGGAACAGGAACGACCGGCAGAGGGGGAAGGAGGGAGCACTGGAAAGGGAGGGGAG